CGTATTTTGCTGATTTAAGAAAGCAGACTCTTTTCAAACCCACAACACTATTCAATACTAAACGGGCACTCAAATACCACACGTGGCAACATCGTAAGGCACAGACTTTCTGAAAAGTAACTTCACACTTACACTGACAGTATTTGAACCTTCAGACCTTTCACCTCAGAAATCCACTCCTGGGAACTTACAAAGGAAATGAGAGCTAGGTAAAACATTTACACACAAGGACATCCACTCCAGCATTACTTACGAGAGCCAGAAACGGGAAATCTGCACGTTCAACAACACAGCAGAACTAACAACCCACCCGGGGAGAGGGGGTTGTCTGCAGCTACTAAAATATTAAGTTTTTAATAAGAAGTAACAACATTTATGGAGAATTCATATTACGGTTTCAATTATAGTAAAAAAAGAAAAGCATGTGCGAGGCACAGTCAGTTTTCTTTTCTCTTTTATGTTTTCCTCCCAATTATCACATAATCATCACAACAACAAAACAACAAGAGGGTAAGATGTGAAAGAAAAAGACTCAGGGTCCCTTAAGGATGACAAAGTCGGGCCTCTGCTGACCGCCTGCCACTCCCCACGTACAGCAGCTAAATCTCTCACACCACCAACTGAGAAAGAAAGAAAAAGACAAGGGGCCTCGCAGGCCCCAGGGGTAGGCTCTCTGACCCGGGAGCAGATAGTCCCCAGATCAGAGCCAGCCTCACTATAGCACAGTGGTCCAGCCCACTCTGCGTGACCCCAGCTCTTACAAGTGAGGGGTCTAGAAGGTCAGGAAGCCCTGGTCTTGCAAGTCTTTGGTGCTTTAAAGAAAGCATGAGTTACATAGCTAATTTCACAAGCCAGAGCACCATTTAACATAATTTTCAGTAAGCTATTTGAAAGTTTGCCTTCTTGCGCATTTGCCTAAAAAGAAGATGTGTTTTGTTTTGGCTATGAATGTAAATCTAATTCTGAACATCGTGACCTCACAGTGCCCTCATCTCCATGCAAGGCTTCCCTAGGCGATTCAGGCCATGGTGACACTCCAACCAGATCCCTTAGGTGGCTGGGCCCATTCATGGGTTCCAGTCACGTGCTCTAGGTAACATCTGCCCCAGCGTAGGCAAATGTGGGCTTTGTCCCTTGATCACATGTAAGAGAGTAATTGTGAAGGCAAGTTGGAAATTGTTGAGTGCCGCAGAAAGAATTGTTACAAAAATGCCCCAATTTTAAGTCTGCCCAACCTGGCTGGGCAGGTTGCACTGCACTCAAGGCTGACTCAAATCTCATTCACTAGAGGACTCATGGAGGGGCACGGCTCCTGGAGAGGGTGTGGGGCCAGGAAGAGAACATTCTAGTTGGTGCCAACATGTGGGCAGTACCCACTCAGCATCCGAAGAGTGCCAACATGCTGTGGACATGTCAGGATGGCCAAGGGCATCTAAAGCAACAGGGTGCTGCCAGGGAAGGCTTCCTGGAGGAAGGGGCAGCAGGGCTGAGGGGAGAGGAGGAGCCAGCAGAGGAGTGGGAGGAGCGGACAGCATCCTCGGGCAGAAGGTAGCAAAGGCTCAGCTGAGAGCACTGGCAGATTTCTGGAACACAGAGGAACTCAGGAGAGCGGAGGGTATGTGACCAGAAAAGAGGCTGGGGACTGGGAGGGTACAGGCCATCGATTCTAGGGCTCCTACACAGCAATATCACAGATGCTGGAAGCCCACAAGGGGCTCCCGGAAGCCATACTGGGGACCCAAATGCCCCTGGTGGCTCTGAATGAAGGCTACACAATTTCAGGAACATTTCCAGGGCTACCCAGGCCAGATCCGTGTCTCCTCTTCTGTCCCCTTTAGGCAGATGGGGAGAGGAAGGAGAGACATTCCGGCTGTTAGGAGCGCCATCCTGATTCTATGAAGTAACATGGAGCATGGGGTGCAGAGACACTAACCAAAGTGGCCCTCGGCAACAGCTGGCCGGCCACCCGCCTGCTGCCTGTGGGCAGCCTCACGACTCCAAGGTCAGTCCTTCCTGGGGGCCTTTCAAGCACACTGGCTGATGCTAGCAGGTGTGACAGCCCCCTCAATGGACACAGTCCATAACAGGGACCTACTGATGCTTTGCTCACGCACCTTTTTCTCTCTTTCAACTTAGGAAATACTAACCACTGCTAGAAGCTGCAAACTGTATTCCAGGAAGGTACATCTCCTCATCTTGAAGTTTGTCACCTCAACACCTGCCCAGCTTAGAACCCCCAAAGCTGATGCCGTGTGATAGGGAGGTTCTGGAGCTGTGGAAACCCCAATCCACTGAGTCACAAGGCCTGCCTCTCCTAGGCCCCCCAGTACTGCAGACACTAGCACCAGGAGCTGGGAGAGGCTTGGTGGAGTTTCTAGAAGCACTTCTTATGGCAGGGAAGCATTCATTCACACCCTGTAACACGCTTGGCCCGGGGGACCAGGGAGGAAGGAAAGGTCCTCACCCTAAGCCCAGACCCCCAGGGCCCTGTCAGGGTGGCTCTTGGAGCCAGGCCCATCCCCTCCGCAGTTACCCAGCCAGGTGGTCACTCCAGCACCCACAGGGCCATGGGGGAGGGCAAGCCCTGGTCTGCTGGAAGGAGAGTGAGGGTAACATCTGGAGCTCCTGAAACCAGGCATTCCATGGATCTGGCCACTGACAATATTTGTCCAGAGAGGTGCTGGGTCCCTGGGGCAGGTGGGAGAACTGCATCCTGACCTTCAAAGCACCCTGGTTCAGCCCCAGACTAGGGGAACACTCAGCAGGTGAACCTCAGTCCAATAGGCTTATAAACACACAAAGCCAATATTACCCGGGCCTCTCAGGGAAGCTCATTAAAAAAGCAATCTACCTAGTGCCTGGAACAGAAATGAAGGGGGCGGGGGAGAACAGCACAGAAGATGAAGCTCTGTCACCTGCCTCATGGCACAGCGCACTTCCAAAGTGGACAGGAGAGGGAAGGCCTCCTGAGGACCCTGGAAACCCCTCCTCCACCTGGCCTGCATGCTGCTGAGCTCAGCAACTTCGAGGCAGAGGGGCTGGCAGCCCACCATAGCAAGTGGCATCCGGCTGACTAGGCACGGCATTTTCTATTCTTGCTACACACACCCACCCTGAGGAGGGGGTGCTGGGCCTCCCTCGTGCAGCTCCACTTGGTCTCCGGGCTCTTGTCTGCAAGGGTGGCTGGGCCTCCTTCTCTGGTGGACAAACACCAGAGAAGGGAGATCAGGGGGCCCTTCATCCTGGTGACCCAAAGGGAAACAGCCTCAGGAGACAGGCTGCAGAGAGTGTCCTGGTCTTGGCAGCCCCCAGAACAAATTCTGCACACTGTCCCCTCTGGGAGTCTCCCACGCTAATTCCCTCTGGCAGACAGGATGGTGACTACCCCCATCCCCACTACCGCAGGCAGGGAGGTGCCCACCCGGGCCTATTTGGGTTGGTCCGTGCCCAGGTCTGGGGGACTACAGTCCTGGTAGGCCAGCAGCTGCGAACTCCAGACCTGGCTCAGTCTAGCATAGAGTGGCCGGCCACAGGGGCAAAGGCGTGGGAGGTGGGTGCTACACCAGGAAAGCACACCCATGCAAAGCAGACCAAGTGCTGAACAGGAAGCAAGGCTTTAAGGGCTTTGGGCCTTAAGAGACCTGGAACATCACCTTGCAGGCTCGAGCTGCCATCTGGGGGCAGGGGGTGGGGCAGCCAAGGGAAAGTAAGATGACCTCTGTCCCCAGCTCTAGGGCCCTAATTTCCTGACAGGGAAAGACCACAGGAGGACTGAAGAACTGAGCAGGAGAGCAATGCCATGGACCACGTTTCACCGTGGACTGGCCAGATCCTCAACCTTTATCCCCCAAACACATCAGAGACCCTGCTCTCTCTTGACCCAGAAGAGTGCCAACAAACACAGCTACATAGCTCACATAAACTCCCCCACCCCCAGCCTGTCTGTAAGTGCAGTCCTAAGACAAATACAGAATATAAACAAGGCACAGGCAAGAAGATCTCACTCCTGGCCCTTCCCAGCCCAGATTATCATGGGGAGAAGGCCCCCAGGGCACCAATATGAACAGGAGAAAAGAATCCGATTTTTAAGCACTGGAAACCCAGCCTGCCCTGAGGTTGTGGTTACAAAGTGCCTCCCAGGAGAGCTGCCCCCCACACAGTCAGCCCTATGCCTCCAACCTCCACAGAAATGGGGGACCCCCAAGGAAAGTGTCTGGTTGCATAGGTACCCCTGACCAACTCAGCTCCCCCAATCTAGCCGTTGGTCTGCTTTTGCTCCTTTTTCGGAGGGAACTTACAACCGGTTCTGGCCCAACTGGTGAGGGCAGGCAGCATTGCCTCCTCCCCGCCCCCAGCCCCAGGTCACACTCAGGCCTTTGTTCTACCTGCACACACCGGCAGGCAGAGCCCACCCCCCTCCCTGGCAGCTCCTCCCCAGCCCTCTCCAGGCAGGCTGGGGGGCTGGGGGCCTCACAGGTGCAGGGGGAGAGGCACTTCACTTCTCTCACTTACGCTTTGGGTGTGTGTGCGGCCAAGGCAAGCGAACACTCCAGGTGGGCTACACACGCAAAAGAACCCACTTTCCCGCCCGAAGACACCAGGCTAGCCCGGACCCACAGCTGGGGCGGGCCAGATTTTACACTGGCCCGCGACGCAAGGCAAGTCACGGCCCCAGGACAGTGGGCTGTGACCCGAGGGAAGCCCAGGCACTGCGCAGCCTGGGAGGCGGGGGTGGTGGAGGGGGAAAAGTAGAAAGGCGAGGTGAAGAAGGTGAGAATAGGGGGCAGGGTGACAACGGGCCGCAGCGGAGGAACTGGGAGCTCCGGTCGCCCAGCAGGTCGGGAGGGGGTCCACAGCGGCTGCGGCGAGTGGGGGCCCCAAGAGTACAGGAGTGGAGAACAGGGAGGGCAAGGAGGGCAGAGCGGGACCAGGGGAGCACGGCGGGGGCACGGGCTGGAGCAGCAGCCGCTAGCTGGGACCCCGTCGCTCCGGGCGCTCACCTGGGCGTGCGCAACGCGGCGGGGTCGCGACGGTCCAGCACGCCGGGCACGCAGTTGGTGAGCTCGGTCCAGTCGGCGTGCAGCCCGCAGCTCCAGCCCGTAGAGAAGCGGGAGAAGAGCCAGGTCTCGCGGCGGTTGGGCCGGTAGCAGGTGCACTTCTTCTGGCCGGGCCGGCAGTCGCAGGGCACCTCGAGGCGCACGTTCTGCACGAGGTGGCGGCCGAAGGTGGTGCCACCGGTCTTCTGGATGTGCAGGAAAACGATCACATCGTCGCCCTTCATGTCGAACCGCAGCGAGCGCTCCAGCTCGCGCACAGGGAAGTAGTACTTCTTCTCGTAGTGCGGGTCGGGCGTGGGGAAGAGGTCCAGGTCGTCGGGCGGCGCGCGGCCGCCGGGCGCGCCCAGGCTCAGCCCCGGGCCCGCGTACTGGTACAGGATGAGCATGAAGCACGCTGAGCCCGCCACCACCAGCACGAACTTGCTGGCGCGCTCAACCATGGTCCTGCCGCCGGCGCGCCGCCGCCGCATGTGTCACCATCGCCGGCGGCCCGGGCGCGGGGCGCGGGGCCTGGGAGGGCGGGGGGCGCGGGCGCAGCTGCCTCCGCCGCCGCCGCTGCCCGCGCTCCGGCCCGGCCCGGCTACTCGGCGCCCAGGCCGCCCGCAGCGGCGCGGGCCCCGGCCCTGCGCGGCGCCATGGCTGCTCTCCGCCCGGCCCCGGCTCCGGCTCCCCGGGCCCGACCCCGGGCTCGGTTCCGGCTCCGCTCCGGCCCCGGCCCGCGCCCCCTGCGGCCCGGTGCCGGCCACTCCGCTCCGCGCCGCGCCGAGAACGCTCTGCACCGCCCCGCGCGCCGCCGCGTCTCCGCAGTCCGCCGCCGCCCCGCCCCGGCCCGCCCCCGGCCCGCCCCCGTGGCGCCTCTTGCCGTAGCCGCCCGCGCCGATCCTCGGCTCCGCCCCCTGGAGCTCGCGGGGCCTCAGGCGGGTGCTGGGCGCCAGGACCCGGGTCCCTGGCCGCGGCCAGAGCGCTCCGAGGCGGGCCGCCGCCGACTGGGAACTGGTTCCTGTCCGAGAATCGGGGCGGAGGAGCGACTGGGGAATTGGGGAACAGGGGTGCCGGCGGCCCTTCTGGGCTAGAGCGGGGAGCGCAGCAACCAGCACCCCTGGCGCCTGGGTCCCCCTCCCCCTCAAGTCTCGGCTGCTGGTGGAATATCCCCTTCCGCGCTTCTCCGGAGGAAAGCTACTGACCTTGCACGCTGGGCGCTCTGAAGTTCCAAATGCGAAAGGAGCGGGCTGCGATTGGTGGGACTTGGGGTCGGTGGGGCCCGGGCGAGGGGAAGAGAAGGGAGTGCTGGGGGCGCAGAGCCCGGGGCGTGCGGCCGCGATCGGTATGCCTCTGCCCCACGGCTTTGGGACAAGGACCTGGAGCTCCCCTTGGAAGATATACTGAGGTGTCCGCAGAGGCTTTGGGCCCAGCTTTACGCAGTCCACCTTCTTTGAAAGGAGCCAGTGTGAATTTTTTTCTCCATGTTTATTATAACCCCAATGAAAAAGTTATAAAGAGTTGAGCCAATATTTCAAATTATGAAAGTCCACAAAAAATTTCCAACTTTGAGCTTTGGTAGGTCGGTCAGAGGGTCTGGCAGCCCTGGGCCTGTCCTCTTTTCGGTGGCGCCGTCGTGGGTGCTTCGGGCTTCCCTGCCCTGTCGCCCACTGCCTGCTTACGCCTTCCAGCTTGGGCCAGGTGCCGGCTGCTCAGCAGAAGGGCCCCCACCTGGCCCTTGTGGAAACCCCAAAGGGTAGGCTACGCCCCAAACACAGGGCCCTGGCCCTTGACTGTGTTCGGAGGCTGTAGCACCTCCATGGAGAGGTGAAATGACCTGCTAGAATAGCACCTGGGATGGGTTCAAATGCTCCCATCAGCCCCTGCCGGGGGCTCCCCTGGTTTCCTTCTGTGGGGTCCTGAAAGCATGCCCGGGTGGGGGGATGGGAGGAGAGGGGTGATAAGGGCTTATTGTGTCAATTATACCTCAATAAACTTTTAAAAAATAAATCACACTAGAAGCCCTCTTGGAAGCAAACCCAGAGAACTGGAAACATAACCACCAACACCCCAAAACCTGACTAAGAGGGGAGCATTTAGTTTCCAAGAGGAGCTGAAGGAACGTCAGCTCTGGACAGCCGCGTGCAGCACCCTGAACACAATGCAGAGTGACCTAGAGCTGCTGGGGGTGAGCTGGGGAGTCCGGGTGTGATCCAGAAGGCACAAAGCCCCTGCCCACACTGAAGCTGCTTTAACTGACCCCGGCCCAGGGAGGCCACAGGGGGCATTTTGACCCGACCTTCCAGTAATGATTCATTTTTGCCAGGAGTGAGGGCTGGCCCAGTGGTATGCCTGGAGGTACCTGCTCTGCCTGCAGTTACTTGACCCCCCTCTTTTTTTTTTTTTTTTTTTTGCTGAGGCCTGAGGAGTCTCCCTTCATGGACCTAAAGGCAGCAGCTCAGCCATGGAGGGCAGAACTGCCCTGGGTCCAACCACTAGGCTGCCTTAACCCAGGTGACAATCCTCTACCAAGTAGTAAATCATAATTGAGGCTGCTTTTTATCCACAACTACTGGGTACGAGGCCCTGTAGGTGTGTCATTTCCAATCCCATTGGCAAGCCTGTGGAGTAGACTGTAATACCCATTTCACAGAATAGAAAACTGAGGTTCAGAAGGATGAACAGAGGGTCACATGGCCGACTGGTGGTCTCCAATCTCCTGGCGCTACTTTTGCTTGACCCATAACAGCAGGGTGGATAAACCTTGAGCAAAAGCCTTCCCCAAGGGCACCTTCATCACTTGAGGCCTGAAATTCTGGGCCCAGCAGGGAGGCCACAGGGTGGGCCAAGCTCCTCTCCCTCTTATGATAGTAAAAATTCTGATCCTGGGCTGTCTGGCTTCAGAGTCCAGCCCTTATTCACCCCTGTACTCATCTCAGCAACCCCAGACCAGATGCCAAGGCTGAATGGGGGCAGTGAGAGGGTCTAGAGGAGCCACTCCTCAGCTCCCCATGAGTTTCTGCTGCCAGATAGGGATGTGGGTGCAGTATTCAAGAGAGAGCTGAAGTTTTATTGAAAGGCCACTGAACCCATCTGTGCCTGGCCTACGGTCTCCTCTTGGGACAATCTCACTGTCCCAATGGGGAAACTGAGGCCCAGGTGCTTCCCCCAGGGAGGCTGTTTAATCCAGCTTTGTACTTGCCAGCAGAGCTGATAGAGAACCCCCTATTAGGCAGGAAACCTTTTATTCCTAGAATTCTCTTAGGAAGAAGAAAATTTTCCTAGTTGCCTCCCAGGATTTTACTCAGTTTTCCCCTTTGATTTAAGTGCTGCACTTGCACTGTGAGACCTCAAGGCTGTAGGTGATTTTCTCATATCTCAAAGTCAAGTCAGATGAGCCACTGATCTTAAAAGTCAGTCGACATTTGGGAACAGGATGGAATGCAGACTCTGGCTAACCCTTGCAGGCTGGGGGCTTCCTCAACCTAGTATGTGTGTTGAGCTCTCCCTGTCATCCCTGACAAATTGGCAGAAACACACACATTAAAAGGCAGTTGTGGATTTCAAGTGAGGTCCCAGCACAGCGAGTGCCTGGCACTCAGTAGGTCCTCTTTCCTTGCTGTTTGCGTTCTCTCACTGTTTGGCCGGTGGGTAAGCCAAAGGTTTCCCACAGTCCTAAGACTGCATGTGAGTATAGGAAGGCTAATTGTTTGCTGGAGGCAGCGCCCAGCCCTGAGGATTTTCAGAGTTCAGGGAAAAGCAATTGCAGCTCTTCTGCTGTGACTATCTTTGTTCTCTGAATATCCACTTCATCAATTCTTTAATGTATGATCTCTGACTTAATGTTGAAGAAAAAGAAAAGAACACGGCTAGTGGTAGGATGCGATGATCAAATAAAAACAAGTCATTGTATTTCTGCTCCGGGAAAGTGCAAGCCGCGATACGATTTCGGCTTTGGTAATGAAATGGAATTTCTTTCGAATCTAAAATAGCCTCAGAACCCAAACGCAAGCTTTCCCTACCTACGCGCCACGCGTCCTCAGAATCTGAGAACCAGGAGATCAACCCGCGACGCTCCTCCCTCCCGGGCGTGCAGTCCCGTGGAAGGGCGCGCGGGGGCAGCACAGCGGCCGCGGACCGGCAGGGCGCCCAGCAGTTGACATTGCAAGACTGGGGGATTTTCCACACTTGATTCCCTCGTTCTCTTTCGTCCGGTCGCCCATTGTTGTTTCCGAAGAGGTGGAGGAGGGCAGCCGCGCCTGTCCTCAGAGTCTCCTCCGGGGATGGCTCCGATTCCGGCGGGGCGGAGAGAGGGGTTTTGTTTAGGGACAAACTTTTAAAGGGGACTTTGGATCGCGGCGGACGGCGTCGCCTGCAATTAGACCCGCCCGAGGGGCCGGCCGTGGGCCCGCAAGCGGCCTGCGCTGACCCCAGTAGCTGGCCCAGGAGGACCTGGGGACACGGGGCGCCAGGGCCGTGAGCCAGGCGACTGGTGGCCGCTCTGGTTTAACCTGGGCGCCCTCCTCTGTGGAGGCCCATTTTTCCTCAGCTGTCCACGCTTGCCCCTTGGTGCCTCCTGTCTTTCCCCCCCACTCTGTACCCGCTGCCCCGGCCTCCTGGAGAGTCCTACCCACCTGTCTAAGGTCTCCTCCTGCAGGAAGCCCCCCCCTCCTCACAGCAGACCTGCCCCCGTGACCAGGTCCCTGTCCTCCTGTAGTACCACTGGCTAGCATCACCGGCTCTGCGAGGCACCCTGTTCCTCCCACCCCAGCCCTACACAGAGACCTGCCCATGTCTGTCCCCATCTTCCCCTGAACTTCAGAAGGGCCTGGGCAGGCCAGGCATTGTGGAGGGGGGCGCCCTAGAGCAGCTTGTCTCTAATTCTCTGTGCCTGTCCTGAGCCCGGTGGCCCAGTTTGCCCGTGGGCAGTGGTGGGAGGGCAGAACACAGCCAGCCCTGAGCAGGATCCTGCAGGAGCCTTCTTTGCAGCTCCTCCTCAGTTTGCGTGCTCTTCTGCTGGATTTGAAGGCCTCCTTAAACCCTTCTGGGAAGAAGTTGGGAGTATCAATAGATTAAGGAGAAGCTGAGCAATTTAGATGGACACAACATAGCCCTGATCTTCTACCTGCTCTCAAGAGCAGAGGTTTGTGACCTATCTGTGGCCCTTCCACAGCCCCTGCCCTGCCCAGACTGTCTACCCTGGCCGACCACTCACACCAGGCCTCCTGTGTCAGGAGGACTGATAGTGGGTGAGTGGGTGGCGCAGGGATCTGCTTGGCCTGTTGCCTGGTGTGGACTCCTTGTCTAGCAGTGGAAGCCCTGTTCTGGGTCTCCCTCCCCATCTGGATCACCAAGGGAGCAGGGAAGCCCCCCTTCCTCCTTGGGTGCATTCCTGCTATTGGGGTTATTGAGAGGGCAGTGCCTGAACCAGGCAGGGGCAGGTTCTGCCAGCTCAGTGAGGTGTGCATGGGCATAATGTTATCCTGAGGGCA